ATGTGATGAAGATGTAGAGGACAAATCCATGATTTTCTACTCTCCCTTAACCGAAGAAATAAGAGGACATAAAGATACAATCAAATTCAATATAATAAGAATGAAATAAAGAATTACATAGAAAATATGGATGAAAAAATAATAATCAAATACAAGAAATACATATCGGGATTGCAAGTTTGGTAAATCAACAACAACTTCACGTAGATTCAACATTGACATTTTCTATAATATAAAATAAGAAGTTAACGTAGATGTAAATGCAAGAAGAAAAAATGAATCAAAGAGAATGATTCACCTTATGCTCTTATAGAGAAAACGTGAGCTAATAATTTGCTTGAAGAGAGAAACTAAGAGAAGAAAAGTAGAGCTGAATGATATGTGTATTATTGTGTGAGGTTTTGTTTTTAAATATGCAAAGATTTGCGCCTAATAAAAAAAAGTATGACTTTTAACAACGCTCTCTAAAAATACGCTGTTAAATTGTTACTTTTCAGCTACTCTAACATTATCAAAACACATTAACTATAACACTTGTAAAATAAAAAAGAAATAGTAAAAAAATGTTTTTTTAATTTCAGGATGCACCTTTCTAATGTAGTGAGAAAATTTGGATATAATGAATTTTTATACCATAAATACATATATAATAAGTCCAATTCTGATTAGTGATTAAAAAATTATGTAAAAAATAGTGATATATCATCTTTAACAATGTTTGTTCAAATAAGCGTTGCTAAATGTGTCATATCAACAGCACATGCGTAAATAAGTGCTGTTAAGCGCTTGCATAAATAAGCGCTGTTAAATATATTATATCACTATTTTTACATAATTTTTGAACTACTAATCAGAACTTGACATATTATATATGCATTTGGGGTAGAAAAATTTATTCTATCCAAATTTTCTCACTACATTAGAAAGATGCACCTTGAAATTACAAAAAAAACATTTTTTACTATATTTTTTTATTTTACAAGTTTTATAGTGAATATGTTTTGATAATGTTAAACTAGCAACAACGCATATTGTAGCAAGTGTTGTATAAGATAAAAAATCAACCGCGAATATTGAAGAATGCGCTGTAGAAGATATCTCATCAACAGCATAAACAAAAACAGGTGCTGTTAAATATCTACCTATCAATATTAACAGCAATTTCTTAAAAATGCGCTGTCTATTTTTCTCCGCCTCGAATTTAACAACATTATTGTAGGATGTGCTAACCGTTTTTAAAGACGCTTTCTAACTTAACAATGGGAACTCTCTTCTTCTTATTCTTTGGACTTCTTATAGGTTCGTTTCTCTTCTCTTCTAACAAATTATATCATAGTCCACCATGTCTTACCAGGCAAATTAGGGAATGTTCATATTATTTTTTATTGTTTTGAATCATTTGCAGGTTTTGGTGGTGCTACTAGCAATGGAACCATTGTGTCCGTATATTATTATTATTATAAGACTTCATTATTGCTTACATGTATGAATGTCTATTACAAATTAAACCTTTTAATATATATGTAAATTGAGGAGGATCCACTTACTCCAAGAGTAAGTGGAAAAACACTTACTCCACATCATGACCATTCATTCTTGGAAATCCAATGGTTTGAATTGGTGAGTACATCTAAGCCATTGAATTTTTCAAGATTGGATGGCTAAGATGAAGAGTAAGTATTTTTTGGAGTAAGTGGATCCCTCCCCATGTAAATTAAAGTAAACATATTTTGATGCAGTCGGAGTAGTGGAATCAAAGAAAATATTGGGAAACACGTGCAATAAGGAATATATTGGTATATATCAAAGTCCAACACCACCACTTCCAAATGAGATCCCAACCTACACAGTTGAAATATTGAACAATTGCAAGAGTAGTGGCAAAATCTCTAACATTCATGTCTCATGTGGTTCGTTCAGTTCCGCAACAGTTATCAATCCCAAAGTGTTTAATCGCCTTAGCTACGATGATTGTATTGTCAATGATGGTAAGCCATTACAATATGGTGGTTTAGTTTCATTCCGATATGCAAATACCTTTCCCTATCCGTTTTCGGTTACGAAATTGACTTGCAAATGATTTCGGAAGAAGTGACAATAATATTTTGTGGCTATGATATGCTTCTTTAAATTATTTAAAGATATGGCATATTTTAAATAAATATGGTCATATATAATAATGTTATATGTACAAGAAGAATTCTTTTAACTTCTCTTATAATAGATTAAATTAACTTTTGCCCTTAATTTTTTTTTTCTTTTTTTTTCACAAGCATGTAAAAAAACTCATTTAAAAATCAAATGACAAATAAAAATTGTCACAAATTAATGTTCACATGAATGAGAACCACTCTTATTTTGTACTAACCACATGTTTTGTAATTCTTTTAAGGTATATAATAATACTATCCTTACTCAATTTAGTTAAGGACCTTGCAAAGAGAATGTGATGCATATATTTAAAATTTAAAGTAATCAATATTTATACTTATCTATACTAATATATAATATATAAAGGGAAAACACAAAATAACCACCCATGATGGTGTAATTTGTGTTTTCCTATTTTGCCCTTACTAATCTATATTTTTTACCAAAAAATCATATAACATATTTCCTCATTTTATGTTACATGTTTGTTTATGTAAGTTTTACGATTTTTCATTTGAACACGACAGTTTTTCCACATAGATCAAAACAATATTTTGAACATGACAGTTTATCCTTTTTCATTTTTTAACATACAAAATTGCAAATCATGTTTTGTTGATTTTGTTATGGTTATGAAAAATATAATAAAAATATACAAATCAATTACAATTCACTCAATAGAAAAGCGGGTTGACAGGCACGTGAGTGTCTCTCAATACCTAGTTACAATAAAAGGAATTAGTGATTAGTTGATATAATTTTATCATGTCTATTTTAGTTTACTAAGAGTTTGTATTTCCCAATAGAATTTTAAAAATTAAGGAATTAAAAATGTACTTAGACTTCTATTTTTCTAAGTACATAGTAACATGTTCCCTTATCAATGTATCTATCTTTTAAATATACAAGTAATTATCTATAACGTCAAATTTATTAAATTAAAAACATACAATATTCTCATCAAAACGCTAATGATTATAATTCTTATTGCCTCATAACATAACTTTTCCGTTGAAATTGAGAAATTCATACTGTTGAAGTCATAATATTAATATTGATCTATTATTACAACACTATATCGTACATTTCACGGTATCAATCAAAATTAATAAAAACTGATCTATTAATATTGATCGATTATTATTTAAAATTATAATTTTTTTATAAAGGGACTAATTTTTATGAAAATATTTTTAGTAGGATCAAGACACAACCAATATCTTATTTATATTTCCAAAACATTTCACAGACATTATATAAATATTGTAACCGATTGAATAATTCAGTAATCATGTATACTAATATATAAAGGCAAAATCCAAATTAACCATCCACCAGTAATTTGTGGGTGCCTATTTTACCCTCATTATTTTATAATTTCTACCAAAAAAATCTATATAATTCAATGTTCCTCTCCCAATGTATAATCCATGTTATTTGATTAAGTATTTCTTTAGTTGTATCAACCATGGAAACAAAAATAATTTATAATAAATTATATCATATATAATTTACGCATAAATAATTTATAGCATCTAAATTTATGCATAAATAATTTATAGCATCTTTACAAGATTTGAGTACAAGATATTTTAACTATTAGTGTTACCATTGATACAACTATTAGTGTTACCTTGAGTCATAAGTTCTTACATTGGTTTTTAAGTCTTTCCATTGATGCAACTATTAGTGTTACCCTGAATTTGATTTTATTCACGTTTTTATTTGCATGCTCTAGAGTAAAAATCTTATAAATGTTTTTTTAAATATTTATAAATTTAAAACTGCATTTTATTTTAAATTGAGTATCTTGTTTTTATCTTGATTTATAAATTCAACACGCTAGAGTATTCATTTAAAACTGCAATTCAAAGTGGCAAGAAATGATCATTTAAAACTGCAACTAATTTCAACAGCCAATTGCAATGCTAATTCAATGTTATTAATTGATTACAGCACTAACGTTAACATGATCTAATTTATTTTTAGTCTATTCCATTCCAACATTAACGTGATCTAATCATCTTTATTCTATCAGCAATATTAATGTTCAAGAATAATTAAATATTTTTGGCTATACAGTGCAATTTCATTTTTGGAAGGTTTACGCATTTTATTGGATATGGTATTTTGATAACAAGATTTAACGTTTAGTATTAAAATTATGTTGAAATTTGATGAATGAATTACTTTTCACTTAAAATTGTTGTATTTTAAAGCAATGTTATTAAAACCGTACCGGTTATCAAACCGGTTAGGGTACTGGTATAGTGGTACTGTGGTTCAACCAGTGGTTCAGTAATTAAACCGCATGCCGGTTAAACCGGACATACTTGCTTATATATATATATGTAAACCTATAACAAAAAATTTCAAATAAGTAGATATTCATATTTATAATCCATATTCATAATTTACTTCATATTCACACAAACAAACAACATTAAGTCTTTAATAAAATCAAAGTCTAAAGTACAAAACATATATTTATCCAAAATTATCACTTAACAAACGCAAAATACAAATAAATGACCCAAGTATCAATCATTGAAGTTGAAGAATTGGTGAAGAATTGAAAATTTGAAATTTAAAAAAATAAAAATAAATAATGTACAAACCAACCGGTTTAAACCGATTTACCGGTTTTGACCGGTTTTGACCGGTTTTCAACCGGTTTTGACCGGTTTTCAACCGGTTTTGACCGGTTCTATTGCATATGCGGTATAACATACGTACCGTACCGGTTAGGGGTCCGGTTCACCGGTTTTCCGGTTGAACCGGCCGGTACGGTACGGTTTTCAAAACTATGTTTTAAAGTATAGCACTATATATTTTTGTAATAACATGCAAAGAGAAATGATGTTGTTTATCTATATATATTCAGCAATTCAACGAAGATAAAAAAAAACATGCACTACCATTTTATCTCTTACAATGGTAGTGCCATTTTTACTGTTGTAATTTCTTAAACAAGTTTATTGTTGTTATTAGTTTTCTAATTTCCATTATGTTATATTTGCCTTTTGTATCTAATGTCCATATTTAAGACTTTTGTCTATGGTATGTGGAGAGGACATATTAGGAAGTAAGTCTCACATCGCCCACCTCATTATCTCAAGAATGATTTAAATACCTAATAGATTACTCCTCTCATTGTCAATTGGTTTTGAGATGGAACTTTAACACTTATTGACATACCAAACTCGGGAAAGAATTTTAGGCTGATTAATCCAATTTCTAACCTTAAGTCCTAGGTTACCAGTTAAACAACAAAATCATCAATACCATGTACTTCTATCATACTTTTTTTTGGGTAAAATCTAAAACGTCCAACTAGTAACATCACTTACATGCAATCTTGCTATTAAGGAATAATATTTATATGATCCAGCTTTTGTACCATAATATGATCCAGCTTTTACATAAAATTCTTGAGTACAGAATCATTTGTTCGGATCTAAGGAAATAAAGTACCAACCTACAAGTTTCTGCATGTGCAGAGAGTGAGAGCTGAAAAGTAATTGATTTTCCCTTGTAATAACATGTGAATATGCTACAAGAATATATGGAACATAAATGGGGTATAATTTGAGGGTCTTTTAAAAGCACTGTACAATGGACTTGACTAGTAGTAACCACCTGCAAACAAACAACATATAAAAACTCAGTTCAAGCACAAGCATATAATAATGCCCATGTTTCAAGCAACTGAAATTGAATATCATTGAAAAGAGTGTAATGTTTGAGGTTAATAGTTGTGATATTGATAATGCTACAATACATGATCACAATAAAACCTTCAACACTCATGCATGTAACTCAGTTTAAAATGGTTAGTTAGTTCTGACAGACATAGTATCCCACAAGGGTTACCCTGCAAGTGCTAAGTGTGAAATCTAGGTGTTAAGACTTGTAGTTTTCATGGAGTCAAGAGACACAATCACACAAAGAATGCAACATCTTCAAATAGAATATGTCAAGACCAGTTATTTAAATTGTGGACTGCATCACCTGATGCAGCCGCAATATTGCGGTTGCGGTGACCGCCCCAACCGCATTACACCGCAATTGCGGTGTGACTTTGAATCACAATATGTGGCCACATCAGGCCGCAATGCAACCGCATCAAACCCACCGGATTCAAAAATATTGTTTCAATAACAAAATAATTCACACCACAACGGCCGTAATCCACATCGCAATGGCCGCAATGACCGCAATCACAGTAGCCGCAACCGTTACCGCATTTGCGACCGCAATTTAAAACACTGGTCAAGACTAAAGAACAAATAACATAACTGCTAGGATGTTATTCATTACCTCACTGTATTTCTTTTCCCAAGGAAGACAAGATTAGTTCCTGAAAAATTGGTGTCATTGGAGAAGTTGCGCATGCAGGAAAAGTTATGGATATTACTTGAAGCCATGATTCTCCTAATAATATCTGTTGTGCTACAATGAACTTAGCAAGGCAAGGAACTCTTCTGGTTCTTCATTCTCTTTGACAGTCTATTTACAAAAGAGATTTATTGATCAACATGAGAATTGAAATTTTCTGGGACTATCCAAAATGTATACTGCTGCTCAATTCAGTCAAGTGTAAGAAAATAAAAATCAATGGAAAGGGGGAGAGGTGGCATAAAACAGTGGGGTAAAAAGGGTCTCCATGCTCTGTTGACGGTAGCGGGCAAGATAGCCCCCATGACAGGCAGCAAATACAGACGTGATTTGCTGCATCAGAAAACAGCAAAACGATGGCGCAATAGTGCCACCATCATGAACTATTAACTTCAAAGGAAAGCAAATAGAAAAACAGATAGTGGTAATTGGTATAATTGGGAAATTAAATAGGGAAATTTCATAATTTATGGTGGCTGTTTGCAAATGAGTTAAAATTCAAAATAAAAAGAACATTGCCAGGACGTAATGTCAGCTCAGACTGTTGACGAGAATTCGTACCTGTATCCTTAAGGCCTTCAGCTTCTGGACTGGCATGAAAAGTCGAAGGTTTATTTATTCCCTGTGTCTTATCATTCATTAGTGGCAACTTCAAGGACTTTGGCATACTGCTTCTGTGTTCAGCAAGGGAAGTAGATAGTTTTTTCAACGGTAAAGAGGCTGACTGAGAATAGGGATGTGATAACTGAACACCATGGATATCCGCACTGTTTGACATTGGTTGGGAAGAACATGAAGATAGAGACAAATTAGAAAAGTTAGACAAAGGTGGAGGTACTGGAACCGAAGCCAAAACTTCAGAGGAAGAATCCTTTGACAATTCGGGCAAGAACTTTGAGTGGGTGCATGAATCAGAAGAAATGGAGCACGGTGATACATAAAAGGGTGAAGATGATGATGATGACAGTGACAGGGATGGAGATGGATTTGCCGATGTATGAATGTACAACATGGAATCTGAATAAACTCTTGGAAAGGGTAGCTTAGGGGCTGAGACAAACTCCTTCGTAGTAGCAGATGAAACTTTGCGCCTTAAAACACTCCAGCTACTCTCTCTAGCAGGAAGAAGGGTTTCAAGTTCATCCTCTGGTGATGTAAATGGAGGCACTATACCTCCCTTAATAGCTCTTCTGAAAACTTCAAAATCAACATCATATGAGTCCACTTTCCTCTCACCAGGCCAAACCTTAACACACGATTTGATATTTACCACTCCATTTCTAGATTTGTTCATCAGAGGCAGGAATTTCGAAAAAGCATCCCAAAAGTAAGACGGCTCATCACCTTCCTTAATCATTATAATAGGTCCCTGCACTTTCTCATAGCGAATGATCTGACCCACGGCCCCTCTGGCATCCCTCTCCATGATGGCCTCACAATTCTTACCAATCCAAACATATACCGCAGAAGGAATGTGCACAATAAACGCACCTCTAGAATCCAGTGCAGACGAAGCAGGATCCGTCAACATTTTGGGGACAAGATGCAAAGGGTCATACAGTGAGTGAGGAGCAATTCTATACATCCTAAGTAAAGAGCTAGGGCTAAGGGGAACGGCATGGACCCTTTTCTGGCACTGCAACAACTGGCAAGCAAAACCCATATTCGGATCGGCAATACCCCTCGCCGCCTTAACATACTGAAAAGCATCATCAAAACTCTGACCTTCCCTCCACATAAGATATGCAATAACCAAAGATGTAGACCGAGACACCCCTTGGCAACAATGCACAAAAACCCTTCCACCCAATTCCCTAACATCCTCAAAATAATCAAACACATCATAGAGAATACTAGTAATATCCTCGGATGGACTATCCTGCAACCACAATGTCCTATACACGAAATCGGCCTTAAAATACTCAGGACACACAAAACCAACGCAATTCAAAACATGAGTGATCCCATTGTGTTTCAATATATCCCTATCTTTAGCAACAGCATCACCACCAAGGCAAATATGATCACCGACTTTCGAACATTCTTTATCGAAAAAAGCAATCTTATCCCTCTTCACAAGTCCAATGCTGTTATTACCATTAGTATCGTTCCTATTATCATGATTTTCCTGAATTGAAGACAAATCAAGTTTCAACCTTTCACCATTATTACCTCTGCCACCACTAGGTGTGGTGGCGTTCTGTGGCCACTCGCCGATATCATCAGAGCTCGCCTTCGGCCACTCCTCCAAGCTCCTAGGAGCGATGGAAAGCGGCTGCAACAGCGAGAGGCACGATCGAGCCTTTGAATTTTGATGAGGCGGAGGGAACCGTCGACCATGGCCGTCACCGGAATTGGGATCGGCAAAATGAATCACCGCCTCGCCGGAAGGTTGGTTGGCGTCCGCGGCGGTGTGGAAGGCGGACCAAGAGGCGGAGCGCCAGAACACTTTCCGAGCACGAACGTCGTCGTTTCCAACCATACCCTAGTTGGGAAAAATTAAGAATTTTATAATTATTGTTTCTATTTTGGGAAAATGCAAATAGAGAGACTGAATTAAGTAACAGAGAAAAGGGTTTGAATTTTGAAGTGGGTTGATGAGAAAGAATAAGAGAGAAAGATGATATTTTTAGGGTTTTGGTAAAGGGGAAGAAACAAAAGGAAATTGGAAATTGGAAAAATGAAGTAGTTTTTTAACTTTATAGTAGGAGAGCCTTTTATTTTAATATTTTTTGGTAGGTGTATACAAATATTTGGAAGTTGAGTTGATGTATATGGTAAATGGTGGGTGAATATAAAATAGGTAAAGGTGGAACATATATCTTCTCTCCGATTCTTATCCCAAATTCCTGTCTCGGTCCAATGAAAGGGTGACATTTCATTAAGAATAAAAAATATAAAAATAAAAAATAATATTTTTATAGTAATTGGACAAAATTGATTGGTTTGGGACATGGGGACGTGGTCATTTTGGGACAGCGGATCTCCACTCATCGTAAAGGTGTATCTATCTTTCTATATTTATATACACTAGTGTGTTGGCAGACATTGTTATTCCTATCAATCCGATTTTCTATCGTTTGTAATGTATAATTTGCATGTAATAAATGTTTAATGTAGTAAATTGTGTTATATATTGTAATTTGCAGTTGAATATATTCGATTGAGTAATTGTTCAATGTTAATGAATGGATGTATATACGATATTGTGTTCATCCGGAATAGAGTCTTGCACTCCAATTCTAGTATTGACTCGTGTTTGTTAACCCACTTTCTTATTGTTATGATATAAATTGTATAATCTTTACATATAATAACATAATATTTCATTTCATCAAATCATATTGGTCTACACTCCTAATTTTATATAGTCTGAATAGCCTAAAAAAATAAAATAACGTTTTCTTTGTCTAGATGCATTTAGAATTAAGTATTAGTTTAAGGGGAAGGATTTAAAGAAATGCCTAGAATTATAATATGAACTATCTTTCAATTATTTTATCTAATAATATATTTATAGATTTCTCGAGATA